CCCCCCCCCAAGAAAAAGAAGACGGCGGACCCAGCTAAAGGGGCGAGGAACCCCCCCCCAGGACCCCCCCCTAGTCCCCCCCAGAGTAAACCTCCAACCAGCCCAATCCTAGCCGCCCGTACTGAAGCCCGAAACGAGCAAGCTCGGCGGCCTGCTGCGCAACCTCGACGGGGAGGGCGAGGCAGCCGCTCACCGAGGTGGAGGCGCGCGAGGAGCGCCCGCCGAAGAAGTTTGAGAGCTGCTCCACGCTCGGCGAGCCGTCCGCCTTGCCCTTTCCGCCGAGGTTGCGCAGCAGGCCGCCGAGCTTGCTCGGCTTGGGCTTCAGTCCCGCCGCCTAGCCTCGGGCCGTCTCGGCTTTAACCTCGGCGCCGCCTCGGGGCCAGCCGCCGGCGCGAGCTCCGCGCGCCTCTCCGCCGCCCTCCTCCTCCTCCTCCTCGGACGCGCGGAAGGAACCGCGTGCCTTCTTGGCGGGCGACGCGCCCCCGCCGCCCGCCGCGGCCGCGGCCCGGTTGATCGAGGACTCGAGCCCCCTGCGGTAGCGGCAGACGGCGGGTGTGTCGGGCGCGGGAAGCGGGCGGAGGGGGAGCTGTCGGGGCGCTGGCAGCGGGCGGAGGGGCAAGTGTCGGGGCGCGGCGCTGGCGCGTGTGTGTGGAGAGGGGCGGGGGTGGTTGTGGTGGTGGTGGTTAGGTGGTCGGGAGAGCAGCGGGGGCAGCAGCTCACCGCTTAGGGGAGAGGACTCTGTCCGCCGCGGCGGCTGTGCCGGCGACCGCCTGCGCATCGGGCGGTCCGGACAGAGGTGAGCGGCCGGCGACGGGCCACCGAGAGGGGCGCAACAACGGCGCGGCACCATGTGTGTGCGTGCGGGGCGAAAGCCGCGCTATGTGGGTCCGGCCGTGCTTAAGAGAGGCGAGAGACGGGGAGGTCGTATCTCCCTGTATCTCGAGAGAAGGGGGGGGGCTCTCACCTCGGCCGGTCGCGGCTCCACCTGCGCACCTACCTCGCGCACGCACCAAGTCACATCCTCCCCACTTGCACTATTCTTAGGGAGTAACGGGGAGAGACTCCCGCCGCTAGGGCCCGAGATACGGGGAGATACGGGGAGATACATGGAGAGACTCCCGCCGCTAGGGCCCGAGATACGGGGAGATACGGGGAGATACGGGGAGATACGGGGAGAGACTCCCGCCGCTAGGGCCCGCGATACGGGGAGATACGGGGAGAGACTCCCGCCGCTAGGGCCCGCGCACCCGACTCGGAGGAGGAGGCGACGAGGAGCGGCGGCGGCATGACCGGAGGGAGGGTGGCGATCTGTGCACGCAGGCCAGCCGCCTCCGCCTCCGCCGCCTGCAGCTTCTTGCCCACCCTCTCCGCGTCGCCGGCGGCCGCGGCGCACCGCTCCTGCGGCGCGACCACACACCGGGACCGGGGGTGAGGGCAGGAGGAGCGCAGCCTCGCGCCGCGTGCTCGAGAGCCCCGCGTGAGGACAAGGGGGTACGACTGTGCTGGGACTGTGCTGGGACTGTGCTGGGACTGTGCTGGGACTGTGCTGGGACTGTGCTGGGTGGGGGCACGGCTCGGGAACGTGGTACGTCCCCACTCTAATGCGCCGCTCCTCGAGCTCCGCCGCGCGCCCCTCGGCGGCGGTGGCGCGCCCCTCGGCGGCGGTGGCGCGCCCCTCGGCGGCGGTGGCGCGAGCCTCGGCGGCGGTGGCGCGAGCCTCGGCGGCGGTGGCGCGAGCCTCGGCGGCGCCTGCACCTGCGGCCGCATCACCGCCTCGTACACCTCTGGCTGCGACGCGTCCGGGCCAAAGACGCCGTCAAAGGAGAAGGAGTGCTCCTCGATGGTGCCGTAGCCCTGCGCCGACGGCTTGTTGAGCGAGATGGTGCAGTCCGTCTCCGTCGTCGCGATCGTCGCGCGCGCCTCCTTCCCGCTCAGCGGCCGCAGCCGCACGAAGGCCTGCATCCGCTCGGGCGCAGCGCTCGTCGAGGTGCTTGAGCCGTCGCTGTCAGAGAAGCTGAGCTTCCTGCGCGGGCGGGGCGGGCGGAGCGGTCGGCCCCGGGCGGCGCCACGGGGTGAGGCGCCCAAGCCCGGCGCCTCCGCGGCATCTCGCTGTCCGGAGGCTGGA